CCAGCGGTCTCAGGCGGCATCCCCTGACCCCTGCATGTTCCTCAGCTTCGACGAGGGCGGCAACTGTGACGGGTTCATTCTACTTTACGTGGACGATATGCTGGGAGGTGGAGATCGGCGACCGGGCAGTAACTACAGTCGGGCTATCACCGAGGTGAAGCGGAAGTTCAAGTTCAGAAAATGGATCGAAGACGACAAGATGGACTACTGCGGCAGCGACGTGACGCAGACCCCGCACTGGGACAACCCGAAGTCGAACAGCAGCGAGATTGAGGTGAAGATGGCGACATACGCAAAGAACCTGAAGCCCATCACGATCGACCAGAAGAGCAGCGACAACACGGGGGAGCTCACGACCAAGGAGAGGCGGCAACTACGAGGCCTACTCGGAGCGTTGCAGTGGCCAAGCTCTCAGGCGCGCCCGCGCCTTTCGGCTTCGGTCAGCACTCGCCAATGCCAACTGCCTACGGCAACGGTCGGCACGGCCAAGGAGGCGAACAAGACGCTGCGGTTCTACAAGCAGAACTCGGACGTCGGGCTCAAGATGAAGACTATCGGCCAGGTGCGCGACATAGTGTTTGTGGCAATGATGGACGCAGCCTGGGGGAATCGACAAGACGGGCCCAGTCAAGGTGGCTACGTCATCTTGGCATGCCACAAGAAGATATTCGACAGACAAGAGTCCGACTTCAGCGTGATCGACTGGAAGTCCTTCAAGGTACTGCGCATGGCACGTTCCTCCCTGCATGCGGAGTCACAGGCAGCAGCAGCAGCGGGCATGGACGGCTTGGAGGTTGCGAAGCGATTCTGGGCAACCATGATCTACGACGGCGTGGACATCACGAATGACGAGAGCACTCACATGGCGGGTGAGTCGGCATTAGTTGTGGACGCGAAGGCGCTCTACGACGCGGCCCGGAAGGAGAGCATCACCAGCTTCCAGGACAAGCGGACCAGCATCAAGGTGCTTGCGCTACGCGAGAAGATGGAGGCTACGATGACACGCTGGAGGCGGGTACCATCAGAGAGGCAGTATGCGGACGGGCTCGCGAAGATCGCGGCGAGACAGCTCCTCGCCGACTGTCTGCGAAATGGAAGGCTACAGCTCAAGCACGACCCGAACTACACGGCGGCGAAGAAGACCAAGGAAGAGCGACAGGAGAGCATAGATCAGACGAGGCCGGTGGCATCGGCGGCGACGCGGAAAGCGACGACACCATTCATGCAGTTGGCAGTGTTCGCAATTTGCTGTTGCAGATCGGCGGCCCAATCAGGCTACGACACGAAGGACGAGAACGACGGCTACGGCATTGCGATCTGGTTTGCCATGTTTTTCTTACTTCTTGGGCTATGTGGAGCCTGCCCGGTTGCATCCTACCTGATCAAGATAAAGGAGGCTGAATACAAATACAAGACGGAGCTGGCGGTTCTACGGGCGATGGCCGAGAAGGAGCGGATCGAGAAGGAGAGCAAGCCGAAGGAACCACCAAGAGACGAGCGCAGCGGCTCGTCGAAACATCTGTACGCGGCCAGGACGGTGGGAGTGCAGAGTATGACGACATATCAGCTCAGCGGAGACGTCTGGAGGTTTCAGCATCAGACGCAGGGTTTTCGCAGAGCGGGCGAGGTGGCGACCGAGCCAGAAATGACGGAAGGATTTCGGGCTCACAAGTGAGGCTCACAGCTAATATGGATTCTTTCTTCGTTGCGGTTTTGATTTGCATGCCGCACGAGAGTTTATGACCATAGTTTTCGAGATTGATCTACCGGCTGCACGGTATTGTGGTATTGTTTATTGCAGCGTTGAGTTAGTTACACTCCCTCACGCATTATAGTGTAGTTTATGTATGTATTGTGTTACCAGTATTAGGTATGTTTATCTGGATGTGTTATATTTCAAATTGAAGAAAGGCTTCTCTCGGTTTCATTTGTTTTCGCTATTTCACGGGTGTGAGATATACGCTGTCCATCTAGTGTGTATGTATGGCACGAGCCCGCAACCGTTTTGGCCCTGGATTGCGGCAAGGCCCTTGAGTCAGACCGAGCGCGTTGTGAGAATGATATTCTCTCTTCATAATCAGTGTTGTATTCATTGCCGTCAAAGACTTCGTGTGCTTTGATAAGTTCATACCCCCAGCGCGCCCCCACGACGCCGCTCTGTGCAGGTACTTCGGCACGGCCTTGTCGTACGCTTTGTGGCCGCGACCCGGCCCTACCACGAAGCCGAGATACTTCGCGTGGTCCGCCACCCGCAACCCTCCCCAGCCCGGCTCGCAGCGGAGCAGCGCTTGCAGCGCAGGCCGTGGCTCACACAAAAACAGCGGCACGAGGACCGTCTTCGGCATGTTCAGCGGATGCCAGAGATCTGCCCGAAGTCGCGGAAGACTGCGAAGAGAAGCGGGGCTGCCATGTCCACGTGCCCTACCACAGCTGCGATAACATCGGCGAATGCCCAGAGCACCACGCCAGGCACCTTCGCATGGAGCCGGCGGAGTAGGATGTTGACGGCCACGGCGAAAAGAATCGAAGAAAGAAGGCACCCTTGCCTGATGCCGGCCTCTGCCACGAATCCGCCGTGCAAGCGGCCCCCCACTGTTAGACTGCATCGTTTGTTCTTGTAGAGGTGCCCAACGAAAAGCGTGAGCCAGGCAGGCAAACTGGCCACCCGCAGGGTCGCCAGCAAGAACTCGTGCGCGACACTGGGGAAAGCAGCCTGGAAGTCGAAGAACCAGGCTGCGCCCCGAGTCTTTGAGCGCGCAGCGTGCATCATTCATGTGAAGGGGCTTTCTGGGCCAGGCACATATGAGGTATAGGACAATGCGGGGGGAAGGCGAAAGTAAGAGTGAACGCGAGCATGCGCAAGCGAAACAACAACGCGGCATGTCAACATCACGGCAGCTGTTTCACGGATCGTAGTGGCAGGTGTGAAAACATATGCAAGTTTCAAGTTGACTGGTATACGCAACGAAGACGGAAGTAGGGAAAAGCGGTGGCAAATGTGCATGCGCACGTAAGTAAACACGCGCAATCATATTTATCCCATGGCCATGCTGCTTCAGATGGCCTACGCGTTAGGATACTACCTTCTTCGCAAAGAAGAACGCGAGCGCACGTACACAACGGTACAAAAAGAACAAACAACCAGCATATGCGAACATAACGGGTAAGTGCGACGTTTAGCACGTACAGCGACAACGGGTCAAGCCAGTCATCATGCAACCTACTGGACCTTACTAAAACACATCACATGCTACACATGAGCTCTCGGGTATGTAACTCTAAGCATGATACACAGATCAGCTGCCAAATTATCCCAGTGCGACCCTACCTAGGAGTTGGAGCATTCAGGAACGCAACATCTACATCTACACCGACAGCTACATTACATCTACACCTGTATCTACATCTACATCAACATCAACAACGAGACTCACATCTACATCTACATCTTCACCTACGCTATGTTATGCTATGATATGATTTGCTATGCTGCGCGATGCTGCACTATGCTAGGCTATGCTGTGCTATGATATGCTATGCTGCGCTATGCTATGCTGTGAAATGATATGATGCGCTATGATATGCTATGATATGCTGCGCTATGATATGATATGCTATGATACGATATGGTATGCTGTGCTATGCTATGCTATGCTATGTTGCGCTATGCTATGCTATGCTAGGCTATGCTATGATATGCTATGCTAGGCTAGGCAATGGTATGCTATGCTATGTTATGCTGCGCTATGCTATGCTATGCTATGCTGTGCTATGCTATGCTATGCTGCGCGTTGCTATGCTCAGCAATGCTATGATATGCTATGCTATGCGGCGCTATGCTATGCTATGCTTGGCTATGCTATGCTGAGCTATGCTATGCTATGCTATGATTGGATATGCTATGCGATGCTTGGCTATGTTCTGCTATGCTATGCTGTGCTAATGCTGCGCTGCGCTATGCTGCGCTGCGCTGAGCAAAGCTAGGGTAAGCTATGAACTGCTATGCTATGCTGTACTAATGCTGCGCTGCGCTATGCTGCGCTGCGCTCAGCTAAGCTAAGGTCAGCTGAGCCAGTCTAAGCTAAGCTAAGCTAAGCTAAGATGGGATAAGCTAAGCTAAGCTAAGCTAAGCTAGGCTAGGCCAGGCAAAGCTAAGCTAAGCTAATATAAGCTAAGCTAAGATGAGATAAGCTAAGCTAAGCTAAGCTAAGCTTAGCTTAGCTAAGCTAAGCTGGGTGAGCCCAGGGGGCGCAACTGGGGGAACCGCGGGGCGGATGCCGTGGAAACCGCCCGGGGCGCTTTCCACTGCCCGGCCCCTTTAAGCTCTAAGGTAAGAGCCCTTCTCGGCAAAGCCTAGGTAGGGAAATAAGCCAATCCCGAACAAAAGCTTGGCCGGCCCACCAATCAAGTGAACATCCGGCACGACGAAGGCCCAGCTGGGCCACGCCAGCCAACATTGCCTCCTGACGCTGAGAGGCCTTCCTGAAGAAAACCACCGAAGACGAGGACTGGACTGGAAAAACATAGGACCGTAACACATCGGGGATCCGCGGCCGCTCCAGTGCGATCCAAATCGCTCTGAAAGTATTCCAGAGCGCTCTGGAAGGATGCATCCCAGCTCTGGCCCCGCCGGACAACCAGAGACCTCTGTACAACTGTGTGGCACGGCTCTCGGCCCCCCAATCACAACAATTGCACGCTGTAGGAGGGAACAAAAGCAAAAAGACAAAGTCCTCTGCTGCTGCTGATGTGCCACACAGACGGGCCTGCATCCGCCTGGATTTCAGTTATCGCCTCCTCTGGTCTGAAGCTCGCGACAGATGCGGGGTCCGAACCGTGATGACGTTCAATCACGTTCCAGACATACTGTTGCAGGGCACCCTGGATCTCAACCCACTATCGTGCCTCAGACATTACGTACCAAACTGATGCATTCGAACAAATACGGGTGTCTGTGCCTCCACCTCATGCGGGGGATCGCCAGCAGCAGAGCTGGAGACCCAGTCTAGGACGTCGCGGAGCGTGGGCCCGTTTGACAC